TTTGCTGTGTACTGGCAAAGTGAATAATTATTTTCATGCACCCCATTATTGGTTGGTTGTGAGGAGTGTTGATTTGTATAAGCTTGGCTTGACCATACTAAATGGGCATATAGCCCTGCTCCCCATCACCGCCGTGCATGGGACCGGACCTTGAATCTTTTTAAAAAAAAAAAAAAAGTGGACCTACAGCATTTCTAGTCCACTGATTTATAGACTCATTTTGTGTGACAACCAATCTCTCACCTCATCATACAGCATTTCAATTTCAGTGAGGAGGGTCTTGGAGCGAAACACTTTGGTGTCATTCTGTTTGAAGTTGATGCCTTGGTGGTCGAGTGACTTCAGATAATACTTTTCATTCTGCTCACGCCAAATTTTGTTGAAGCCTCTCTGGGCTTCTCTCCACTCTTCCTCTTTGATCTTTAACCTGAACCCATGAATGAAAATGCAAAGTCTCAGTTCACGCTCAAAACAAGTAAATACAGAAATGAATGAATTCATAAAAATTCTAAATATAATGCATGTTATTCACCTTTTTAGCACTATGGGGACACACACAGTTGGATTTTTCTTGAGACCGTCAATGATGTCGTGGGCGCGGTCCCCGTATATCCTCTGAATAGCTTTGCGGTGAATGACTTCTGAGGACCCCCCCAATGTGTTGTCCAGCTTGAAGCGCAGCTGCTCCTCTGCAGACATTCGCGAAAGCCTCTGTTGGACTGATTCGAGTGCTCGAATCGTGGCAAGATTGGTCTCCAACACAACATCAAGCTGGGGGATGCAATGACAAGATATTGATTAAAGACTACAAACAGTGAGAAAATGGGTCGCCATTTGAAATTGCGTCAAAGCCATAAATGAAAAGGTGAATTAAAATGAAAAGTTCACAAAAAAAAAAAAAGACCATATCTAATCATTTTAAATGGTTACCGCATCAAAAGCCACAAACAGTAGATGATGGTATACGCGTGTGTGTGTGTGTGTGTATATCAGGGGTTCTCAGGACCCCTCAGAGAGGAGAAATCTTGACCCCCTCCCCCAAATAATCAGAATAACACATAACTAGTGTGCCCCTAATTGCCATGGGAATTTATCTTTTGACTTTTCAATCTAAATATTCATGATTTGTTTCACAGAAAGGGGCATAACCAAATTTATCCATGATTGCTTGTCAGATTCATGTGATGATGCATCACACTCATATCAGAGCTTTTAATTGTCGGAACGCAAGAGAATGTCGGTTAATTGGTGTATATCTTTTTCTTTGTGCAGCGGGCCCCATATGTAGGTATGCACTTTTTTTAAAAAATGACCGAACTATTTATTCCCATTTATTTTGTGGACTCCCAGGCTACTCCCAGAGCTGTCCGGAGAACCCAGTTTCAAGAACTTCTGGTGTGTGTTCTGTTAATTAAAACTGAAAAAGACCTTACTCCTGGCTGCAGCACATCAAAGTACTGTCGCACAGTCCCGCAATACAGTATGAAGACTTGTCTTGTGTTTTGGAATAAAGTAAAATGTGATCATGGATTGAAAGTTCCAGAGAAAACAAATGACTGGAAATAAGTTCATCCTGCACAGTGAGAAAAAAGGGCCTCTTACCTCAAAACGCTCATCTTCACATCTGTAAATGTGCTCTTCATACTGAGTCTTCTTGGAGCTCACAAAAGTCGAATCCTCAGACCATGATGGAAATGACACCCATGTGTCATTCAGAACCTGAAACAGGACATTCATTGACTGACTTTAACCTAGACTCGAGAACTATCAAAATCCAAAAGGAGCTGACAGGCAGAAACAAACACCTTTGGACTGACCTCTCGACATAGTGGCGTCCTTCCTGTGCATTTAGGCTGCTGGTAGCTCTTCGGGAGTGCCCTGTAGCTGGAGCCTAGCCTCTTGCAGGACGCATAGTCAATCTCCATGGCGATGCCCTCTGTTGCCCGCTCCTTCGGCAAACTCTCCGCATGGCTCAATTCCCCATGGCTGGACTCTCGGTAGCCCAGGAAGTTTTTAAACCATGTAAAAAGTTCTGGGAATTTTCTGTCAATTGTGATACAATTTGTGTGATATACACCCGTATATTAATACAACTCCATGTATTGTTTAAAAAGTTCACATTTAAGGTAGGTGTATGGCATCATTCCATCCAAGTGTGTTCAACAGGACTGACCGTATCACTTACTGTTCATGAAATCAATCAGAAAGGTTAATGAGGACTCACCCTAGAAACGGGATGACTAACTGAACCAATTCAGCACGTGAAATCACTTCCTGGTTGAAGATGTGTAAACAACGCAGGAAGCTTTCGTATGCCTCTGAACTCCTGAGAGCTTTCTTGACCTGTTTTAGCAACGAGAGTCAAAAATACTTTCTTTATGCTCCTGTGAAAAGAATATTTAATGAGGACAATTTTGCCAATATTCACCTTATCAAAGAACATGGTTTCAGTGCTGTTGCTCTGCTTTCCGAGTTCACTTAGGCCATGGTCCTTCCCAACTATTTTGGGTTTCTTCTGCAAAACATTAAATCAATAAAAACATTTTAAATTGCCATGTTATTTTAATTATGGTCTCGTTGACGAAACACAGACCGGAGATACGCCATCTCACAAAGCAGGGGCAATATGAAGACCACATTTACCTTAACAAGTGGTGAAACTCCCACAGCTCCAGGCCTTTTGACAGTTAGCCCATTATGGCTTAATTTCTGTTTATTGTTTGGTAGGGGTCTTTTGACTGTACCGCCATGGTCATTACGCACAGACTCTGCCCTGTCAGGTGCAGTTTTCCCGAGCAGCTGAGCAGAGGAAGCAAAATGACTCTTTCATGAAACAGAGGTCACGAACATTTCACAGGACACATCTTGCATGGGGAACATAGAAACCCATATTGCATGCATCGAGGGAACAAAAACTGACCTGAACCTGAGTCAAAAACAGCTACTGCTATAGCTACTCGCTATAAATTTCTAGACAATGTAGATTGCTAATATCAGGAGATGATGAACAACTCACCATTGAGCTGTTTGCATCAGGCAGGAACTGTCCAAATTCTGACAGCAGGTCTTCCTGGTTCTTGAAGAGCCGTGCCACTTGAGTGTAGACTTCCTGCTCAGTTAGAGCTGGAGTGTAATTGCCTCCTGCCTCCTTGGCATTCCGTTGCTCTTTCTGCAGTAAACAGGCACATATTAATTAACTTGACAAAATACACAATAGTATTCCTACAAAGGTTTGAGTGGATACTGACCTGGTATGTATGCAGGATTTCCAGGAAGGCTTTGTAGATGTCTGGCTGACCCTGGAAGCGATTCTTAATCTTGTTCACGTAGTTTATGGCGTGGTTGAATTCCACTGGCTGATTGTTCTGTGGAGGTGGCCCACCGGACGGTGTGCTGCTGACTGGTGTGTGGGACTGAACTGAAGGTGAGCGCGGTGAGGAGTAAGTTGGGATGGATGGGTTTGGCTGGCTGGTGGGCGTGTGGGCTGGAGACTGCATGGCCTTTTGAAACAAAAACACATGCTGACAAGACAACTATGCACATTTCAAAAAAAAATTGAAAAATGTGTAACTGTTCTTGTCTAAAACATGAATTAAATAAGAGGACAAACTGAACCTGCTTATACCTTGTTGACTTTATTTGCTGCAGGCTGGGTGGGGACAGGTGGGGTGACAGTAGCGGTGTGTGGGCTGGCCTGTGGCACCGTCTGGTGCTGATGCTGGTTTCCGGGCTGGCTGGGTGTTCCACTTACAGGGATATTTTGAACAGATATACCATGAGGCGTGATGTAGTGAATCTGGCCTGGCGTCGTCACGTTGACCAGATCGTTGGTTTGAACCTCAATTTTATATCCGGGTGGCAAGAAAGTATTGAAGCCCATAATGAGATCTGGGTGGCCCTTGAAGAGTTGGGATACACGACTGATAACACCTGGAGTGTCTATGCTGCAATAGAAAAAAAAAGTTGATTTTGTTGTTGTCGTTGTGGTTGTTTATTCCGCTAGTTAAATGTAAAACATACAAAATAGAACTAGAACTATATTTATGCACTTTTGAAACATTTTGTATTTTATTCGAGATTACCTCTGTGACTTGAATTCTTTCATAATATCCAGGAAATCATTATAAACTTGAGGCTGATTTCCAAACTGAAGCTTCACTTGATCGAGATACGACAAAGCATCTTCAACCTAAGGCACACATCATTGACAAATCAGTGTATAGTGTAGAACGGTGGTTCTTAACCTGGGTTCGATTGAACCCCAGGGGTTCAGTGAATCTGTCTCAGGGGTTCGACGGAGCTTCTGCCGTGGAGGTTAAGACACACCCGACCCAACATGTCAATTAGTTATGACACGCCCGCTTGGTCATCACTGGCTGCAGATGATCACATTACAATCAGTGCCCCGGGAAATTTAGTTCGCTCAGTAGTCAACGTGTGACTGTCGTGATAGTACGTCGTGATTTTTTTAGAATGATTTAATACATTCTAACTCTGTTGAGCAAAAAAAAAAAAAAAAATTAAAAAAAAGGAGGTCAGATGAATATGTACCACATGGATTCACATTTATACGGAACGTGACGGGACTCAGCATCCTATCTGCATGATTTGTCATGCCAAGTTGAGCAACTCTAGTCTCGCACCGGCAAAACTGAAGGAACACTTCTTGAATTTTTATTTTTCAGCAATGAAGTGTTCGATGAATGTGCATATGAACTGGTTGGGTTCGGTACCCAATAAGGTTAAGAACCACTGGTGTAGAACATAACCAGCTGCATACACACTGATCGTTTTCAGATTCACTCCTTTTCCAGATTAATCTTTTTTTACCTTCAGTCGCTGAAACTGCTGCTGTCCTTGCGCTGAAGTCATGGGCGCAGTTGGATGCCCGTGACCTTGGACCACTGCAGGGGCCTGGGATTGGACTGCTATGCTATGTGCATGGGTTCCAACATGTTGTGCAGAACTGTTAAGTCCATGTCCACTTGTGCTCTGAGGCATTGTCGGCACCTTATGAGAAAGACAGTTTAGTGCTCAGTCAGAAAGAACAGCTTGAAGACCGCTGGGGCTCATGGGCACTGGGACTGATGGGGTGACACGGTAAAAAGGTTCCTAGTTTGAATTTGTGTTGGCTTAGCCCTCCCTGGGCTTGTGTAGGTACTGGATTTGTCACAGAGTCCAAAACATGCCTGTTAGGTTCATATTAGACCAGCTGTAGAACACAGGGTTGCTTTCTTTGAAACTATTCAATGGCAATTTGAAGTTTTTCTTTTAGTCTTGTTGACTATTTGGGAAAATAGTGGATCATAGTGCAATATTGTGTGGGAATTGTACTTTGCCTTGGATAAGGTGCTTGTTTATAACCCAAACTGGCAGTAATGATGATTAATATTTTTGTCTGGCAATATAGTTGAATGTTCTCTCAACACAGAATTATCACAAACCAACTAAGAAATAATTCAAAGAAAGGACTGCTCATGGTCTCCACTAGCGGTACTATTAGTAGGTGAAGGAGCGACATGGAAAAAAAAATGTCCATCAGCATAGGCACCCCCTTCCATAATCACGCTCTTTAGAGAGTGCTTGCCAGTGATAAAAAGAGTTTATGGATTTACTTTGACAAGGACAATTGCTCCATGTGATTAAAAAGCAACTGGTAGTGGCCCTCAAAATACAAGTGCTTACAATAACATTCTCCTTGAGTGTCATTCAAATCAAAAGAACAGTGCGATGCCCACAAACAACATGTGGAAAATGGTCCTAATGAAGCCTGTTGCAGCTTCATACCTGGTAACCCTGCGGAAGAGAATACTGGATGCCAGATGACGGCTGCATTATGTCTGTGACTGCCTCTATCACAGTAGTTGTTGGGGCTAAAGCCCTGTGCTGGAAGCTTTCTGCAATGCCCTGGACTGGGGTGCGATGTGGTTGCTGGGGTGCAAATATTGGTTCCTGGTCCTCCACATGCCTCTTCATTGTTTAAACATACTCAAAGGGGCTACAGGAAAACAAAAAGGAAAGGAGATTTTTAACACATCTTTATAAAAAAACTAAACTTGCTTTGTGTAGACCACACAGAGTACTCAAATTAAAAAACAGCTGATTAGTACAGTATGAGTAAAACAAAACACAAGTGACCCTAATAATGAGAAGTTGAGAAGTAGAAGAAAGTGGGTGGAAATGCACCTGGCGAGAAATAATCTATACTCGCTCATCTGTTATTTTCGTGAACTTGGGAATCCTCCTGAGTATGTGTTCCAACTGAAAATGATCCACTGCATTAGCACATAACACAATACTAATTCTTTATATCATAATACACAAATACATTTTAGGTGTAATTCAGCTGTTTGTAACGGATTAATCATTTCCTGCTAATTATGAACAATTGTTGCAGCTGTTCTGAAAGCGCTATATAAATCAGGATGTATTGTATAGTATTGTATATAATTGCAGGATAGATTCCGATTTGCACTTTGTGTAAGGGATTGAATTAATCAGTTGTCAATCATTGTTGGTCACAGTCATGTAAAAATGCACAGCACCACACTGAGAGGTATTTGTGTATATTTTGCAGCCCTCGTGTCACAAAAGAGTCCAACCAAAATGTTGTCAACACAGCTTTGAATTGTACATTGTTTTGCAACATTTATTGAGCCAAGACACATAATTTACATTGAAAAAATGTTTAAATCTCACAGCATAACATTAAACTGAACTCTCAAGACCAGGGCTCACTAACGTGGTTCCCTTGGACACCGGGTAGCCCCCAAGGACCTCATGAGTAAATCATTAACATGATCGGTAGCTTCACATTGATGAATACTGAAGCATCAACTATTAATAATAATATAATTAAACGGTAATTCAATCACATTTCTCATTTCAGAAGTGTGTCATAAACTGGTAGCCATTCACATCCAACAGTGTCCAACAAGTAGCTCTCAAATTCTTACCAAAAGGATGGTGATCCCTTTTCAAAACTCTATGCTTTCAGCAGGAAAAATAAAATATTGATTAAAAAAATTCCATTCCTTTATGATCAGCAGCAGGAAAAAATTTATGTTGTACAAAATATAGACGTTTCTCACAGTGAACTGTGCTGATCTCATCCCAAACGAGGCATCAATGTCATCCACTGGTAGTTGTACATCAGTAAATTTGTTTTGAAGTTTGAAATTTACCCCCGAGGAGCATTAAATGCTCATCCACAAAAAACGTCAAGTATACTTGTTTATTTATTTAGATTAATTTCATATCCCGTGCCTTAATGAAACCAGAATAGGCTTAGGAAAAAGTGTCATTTGTTGACGCTCCCCGGGCGTGCAGGCAGACGTCACAGCCTTGGGTCGGGAGGTAGAAGACTCCAGGCGAGCACAGTGCCGCCTAGTCGACTCGCGGCTCTGCACCAAATTGGGACAACACGCTAACGGAGCGCGCGGTGTAGACGAGCGAGGATCGTGCCTGATTCATATCAAGTAGCGAGTACCGTCAACCAAATGCGAAACGAATACGCCGGAGAGTTCAATACGACGAAGGTGGCTGTCTAAAGACACAAAAAAAGCTCCGATTTGCTGCCGTGTCGCTCTCTCTGTCTGGTTGGCTCGCTGTCGCTGTGTGTGAGGCCGTTCCACTTCCCCTCCCCCTCCCAGCTAAACGCCGACTTGAACTCATTCGTTGTCGTCGAGCTGACCGCTTTCGCTTGTGTGATGGCTGACGTTGGCATTCGCCTGAAATGAAGTTCTATGGCGAGCAAACGAGCCTTCGCCGATCTGAAATAGCTGGCGGTAACACTCGATAGGAAGGACAGATGTCGGTCTGTCTTTGGCAAGTTATCGCCTCCGTAAATGGGAAACTAGGGAGCCGAATGTGTTAGCTAAATAACGTTACCTTTGCGCATGCTTCCACGTTACGACAAGTACAACATTACGTTTGGTCAGTAATTCACAGTTATCCACAGTTCAACCGCTTTCACACTCATATAAACGCTTGTCTCACCAAACTTTGCAGCGCACGCTGTGAACTAGACGGGGGCAAAACAGCGTCTTGCCAAGTCCACCTTTTGGTGTTAGCCTGACAGCGAAATCATGCTCAGAAGAACAGTCTTGCCTCGTTAGCCTTACTTTCAAGTAACTTCCAAAGCCGATACCGCCTTTACAGAAACTTCGCATTTCAAACAACCGGAAGACACCAATGCATGAAAACATTGCCATCAAATAACCAAAGAGTACTCAAACTCTGCCTGTTTGACAAGGTTATGTAGCCGCTAGTGTGCTACGTTAGCACAACAACCACCCCCACCAGTACAAGCTAACTAGCTACTTTAGCTTACCTCGCTGGGCTGCCTCCAGCAACGACGCTGCCACACCAGTGAGAAAGATTCCCTCCAGTAACACTTAGCGGCGCATTAAGATGGCTGTGAAAAGACGTGCTAGTTTGACAGCTTGTCCACGACAATAGCCAGAAATGAAATAGTCGGCGCCGCTAACAACAGGGTATGTATGAAGCGGCGTTCGTTGAACATTAGGGGCGTGTCATGGAGGAAGTCTCCTCCTAGACTTTACTGTGATTGGTTACTTGAAAAGATGAAAACAAATAGACTGACGCGGAGCCTGTTTAACTGGGGACTTGGAGATTTCAACCCTCTTCCTTCTGGAATCTTGACCCTCTTGAAAGGGGTGGACAGAACAACCTCCACACCAACCGTGGACCCCAAAATGACTGCTATCGGCAAATCCTGTTTTACGTCAACATCAGTCAGAAATAACAACCGTAACATACGTTCCCGGTTCCAAAAAGATATTTCAACAATCCCACACATTATTACCTACTGGTCTGGTTTTGTTGATAATCTACACTGGGGAAAAATCTGGTCTCTCCCATACAAATACCTCCTGACTAATAAAGTAAGGGAAATCTCTTTTAAAATGATACACAAATACTATCCCACCAAGCATTATCTTCTTAGGTTCAAGAAAGACATCTCTGTTGATTGTTCATTTTGTGGAATGTACCCTGAAACAATGGTTCACTTGTTCTGGCAATGGCAGTATTCCAACACATTTTGGAAAGTTGTATCCAGATTTATTATTGAACATATTGACTCTGACTTTATGCTATACTGGAAAAATGTACTATTTGGGTTCTACAAAAGTAAGGAAAAAAAAACACTAAACAAACCTTCATTATAAATTTAATAATCATTCTCGCTAAGTTCCATATCCACAAATCCAGATGGAATAATTCAAAACCTCTTTTCTTCATTTTTGAAGCAGAAACAAAGCAGTACCTGAGTTGTATTATGGATTCCAAAAATAAGAAAGCTGTTAAGACTCTGGCTATATGCTCCTTATTTGAAATTTTTGTCTAAAAATCCCCTGGCTTCTTTTTTGTTTAAACGTTTGTAATATATGTATGTATTAATAACATGTTCGTTTTGTTTTCTGTTTACTGAGAATTGTATTCTGACTTGTTCAATAAAGATTATTAAAAAAAAAAAGATTTCAACTCTCAACTGATTGTCGACCCGCCGGCCTGTACTGAACTGTAATGTGGCATAGAATTAACAAATTCATTCAAAGATTTCAAAAACGCTAAATATGCTCGACTCAACTCACAGCATGTGCAAGCTCTAACTCTGTTAAACAACAACAATAAACACATTTTTAGATGAATAATGCTTTGACAATCATGATTAATTAATCTTATGTTAGTTACTGTGTTTGGAGAAATGAAACCAGGGGCCCTTTGGTCACAAGTGAAAGGCTTAGTTTCCCTATTATATTCAGATTCGGAAAACATAATTTTCCCCTGTGTGACATTTCATGGTGCAGAGAACGGCATAGTTATTTAAACAAAGTTTGGAGCATACTGCAAGTTAGGGTACATCTACAGGATGCATTTACATTATTTCACTGAGTATTATTGAATTAATAAATAGTGCATAAGATTTCTTGTGCGGTACAAATAGCTGAACCATCAGGGGGATTACAGCATGAGGGACAACGGAGGTTCTCCTCCTGTGGGTCCTACAGGCGCGACACCGTAGCCTGCGGCTGGATTTATATTGGCAAGAGCGTGTGGGAAGGGCTTCTTAGCATCCGGGCAGCCATACTGCGAACTTGACAATTTCATGAACAGTTGTCAGGGAGAAAGTGGGGAGTCCACTGATCCTGGAGCACACTTGGACTGGACCGTGCAGGAAGGTCCTCTCCTGCAGGTTGATGGAATGGTACTATCAGACCATTGAGAATGACATGACAGGTTCAATGAAGTGAGAACACATTTCAGTTGAATCTTGTTGCTGACAGAGGAGTTCAGCTTCCTCAGTTGGTGCATCCTCTGGTGGCATTTCCTCAGGATCACCTGTGTGCTGGAGGAGACTTCAGGGGGTCATCAAAGATGATCCTCAGGTATTTGTACTTTGTTGCAGTCCCAACCAGACATGTGGATAGTGGTCCATTTTCAATAGTGCTCGTCCTCAATCAGGTCAGGAGTGAGATGGAGCCAATCCCAGCTGACTTCGGGGAAGAGGTCCACCCTGATCTGGACGCTAGTAAATCGCAGAATACATATTGTGTCACAAACAAACATCCAGAGTAAAGATGGATGTAAAGATAAACATCTAATTCAAAGTATCACTACAAGAGATATTTTCTAATTTACACTTTGCTTGGTTAAAATGTATGTCCTGGTTTCTTTCTTATTTGTGGATAGATCAATAGATAGATAGATAGATAGAATATGCGTCTAATCTGAATAAAATGGCTACTTCAAATTCCATAAATTGTTTGAGCCAGTCCCCCAATAAGAGTCAATAACAAGTCGCTACAAATGTCTGTCTTTCTAGATGAGGAATTTGAATGTGTGTGTGTGTGTTTTATGTCGGTAAAAAAGCTGATTAATGTACTAAACCGATAAAAAGACACCAAAATAGATTTTGAATTACAATCTTTATTACCATTGCTTTATACTTTTTTAACTTTTATAATGACATGGATAAAATAATAAAAATATTTTGGAATAAAAGGTTAAAAGTGGTGTCTGACATGGCATGTCAAAACTAAAACTGACTGAATGCCTATTATCATAATCAACTCCATTACGACTACATAACTTTTCCTTTTGACAGACAGAGACTACATGAATGTTTCCAGAAAGACGTGTTGAAGAAATGTGCAGATAATATAAAAGATCAAGCCCGCTGCCATGAAGGAGACTTGTTCTGGAGCTGCAAGAGAAGAGAGAGGAAAGATAAATGTTAAACACTGGGAAGGGTCATATACCTTCAAGCTCACATTCAAAAACATTTTCATCCACCCATCCATATAGCACTTGCAGGTAAACTGAGGCCTATCGGAGCTGACTTGGGACACAGGCAAAGTGCACCTCAAACTGGCCGACCAATCATACAGGGCACATGTACACATTCATGTCATCATTCACATTCACACCTATGGCCAATTTAGAATCTCCACCGAACCTAACATGCATGTCTTTGGAATGTGGGAGGAAGCTGGAGTAGACGTAGAAAACCCACACAGAGGGACCTGATTCGAGATTAGGTGCCAAATTCCCTCTTGTGTCATGCTGAAAACATGAAAATGAGGTGCGCCTTCAAGATGCAGCGTACCACTTGAAGTGTTGGTGACTTCTTCAACTGCTGAAGTTGTAGGAACTTGAGTCTGTCCTGCTGCACCAGTGACAGCATTTGTAGACAGAGCTGGTGTGGTCACCACAAGGCTCACAGGTCCTGACCTGACGGTGAAGGCCTTGTTCAGCATGTTGGGAGCCGCTCCATTCGACAAGCCCCGGTCGCACTGTGTTGCGCACTGGTGAGAGGGAAGAAATGCGATGCACAGATCCACCTCACACTCAACGTACATCTGTATGACATAAGAGAAAAGGGTATGGGGAAAGGTGAGCACTCTGGAACCTTTTTTTTTTTTTTTTTAACCTTACTCTTTTTTTTTGGGTCAAGCATGCATTTCTCAATAACTGCTATTAGAATATGTTAACTGATGAAATGGCAGGATTAAACTAAATGTCCAGTGTTTACCATTGTTTTTATTGAACAGTGCAGCCCACAAAACAAACAAACAATACCAGCCATCATATTCCAAACCCCAAAACAATCACACTCGTTCTGAAAAGTTACAACAATTCACTATATTTTGATGTTTGTTCATTTGCAATGGCAATTGCAAGTACAGTATCATAAATTAGTTCCACATCATGAGCACAACATTGATACAGACGTACATGCTACTGCTTCTACTCACTAGGGGTTTATTTTTTTAATCAAGTGGATTAAACGGAAACATTAATGTGTCACTACTGGTCACGAGAGAACAGTACAGTGGCACCTTTAGATGAGAGTTTACTGTAATTCATTCCACGACCACATTTGTAACTCAAAACACTCATCTAAAGCAATCTTTTCTCCATTGAAATGCATGGAAATGCCATTGATGAAATTAGTTGTTTTAATGAGAAAAATAACACCATTATATCATCACCTTCTGAAAATAATGGCATAAGTCTTTTTTTTTCAAAAAACACGAAAAAGGCACCAAATCCCACTTATTTAATATTTCTTAATAATTTCGTTTCAGGGGTAGAATTGAATGAGCTGTTTAACAAAGAAGAGGTGGCCAGCAGAAAAAAAAAAAAATCTGTCGAAATATGATTTAGTCAATTATTTTAAGAGGGTGACAATATTATATTTTATTAAAAAAACATTCAGCAGTGTAGTGATATTATTAAATATAATTTTAAAAATATATATTTTGTCACACTTTCTCTTTCAATTACTCCTTGTGGTGTTCCTTGACCACCAGGGAGCAGTATAAGACAGATGTATGGATATACTGGACTCGAGGCTCAGGCGCTCTCCCGGCTTCTCGATATGGCAGTAATATTTGTCGGTCTCTGCAGAATATAAAGAATATATGTCTGGTTGTATTGTTACCTGGTCTGTCTTCAAGTGTTGCGTCACTATTTGCGACATCCATTGCATAAAAGAATAAGAACATGCCAAATTAATGCTCATCCTATGCCAATGAAGTTTCCCATTCTATATTGGCATACAGGTAGCGGAGACTCTGTGGCTGCTTTAAAAACACAACCTGTAATTCTCTTTGTTTTATGTTTTGACAGTAACCTTCAAGTGAGTGTGTCAATCAATTAGCATCAAGCCTATTTTTTAAAGAATATTTACAAAGTACAGTATCAGCGGTGGGCACGTCAGTAAATTTCGCCGGTCCGTCATTCATCATTTGCCAGTGACCGGCCTGCCAGTCCGTCATCATCAGCCTATCATTATTTCAGGCCTTCCCGAATCCATCAGTCGTCAGTCCATCACTCCGTAATCGATATTTTAACCGCGCTTTCGTCATTGCTAATTTGTAGGTCATCACTGATATTTTAGGACTGCCAGTAAAAAAAAAAAAAAAATGTGTACAAGGGTAACAACACAGAATTGTATTCATTTAGAAACACTTTCCACCAAAATAAATAAATAAATAAAAAATCTTTTGCTGTTACTAGTCCTGTTCCTGTTTCTTGTTTCTCCTCACCAAACTGTCCCTTGTAGCTGGGTTACCCCAGCAGGGACAGAAAGTTAGCGCTGGACAGGGCGCCCTTCTTTGTCCTCAGGATGTCGTTGGCTGTGAAGAACATCCTCTTCAAGGCAGCGGCACGAGAGGGATGTTGTACTTGATGAATAAGTCTACCCATGCCTCCCTGTGCTCCTTGTGGAAGAGGGCGCAGGGGAGGGCTTGATGCTGGGGCTTCCAGGATGCTGGATGCTGGCCCTTAGCACCGCAGAAGCGGAAAGCTTGCGACACACAACCTCTCATTATGAAAGCCAGTTGGCTATTAATATGACACAGTGGGGTCACACAAATTTTTCCGTACTGTGGACAGGGCTAATGTGCCAAAGTGTGTCGCAAAACATTATTTGCCAAAGGTCACCTTTGCTTTTCATGTTAATGATGATTTGGGTGATGGCTGAATATTGCTTCTGTCAGCATTTATTCTGTCAGTGTTTCAAGGTTTTTGTCAGTCGTCAGTTCGCCTTCGAAACGGGAGTCCATCAGTGATGGACTGATTGACCTTCCATTGCTATTGCCATACTGCCCACCACTGCTCATTATATATGCCAAACTGCCGCTTGTTGTGAAGTGAGTTCAGTCACATGCCACGTTAGAGCGGTCCTATCTCAAGTGTGCGTTCGCAAGTCAAAGCAAAAAAAAAAGAAAAAATCTGATCTTGAAAAACTTGTAAGTCGGGTCACCCGTATCGCAAGGCACCATGGTATCTGCTAAAAGAACAGCAAGAAAATGTGCAACTGTAAAAGAAAAGTACAGACCGTATTTTGTGCTGGAAAGAGGTCGGACAAATCAAGCCGAAAGATTCTTGTATTGCGTGTTGCTTTAATCTCTTTTGTTGTGTCGGAGGCTTTGCATCTGGAAAGAAAAATTGTGACAGTTTGAAGAAAATGTTTCAGATCGGCGGCCTACGCGGATCACAAATACACACATGTTGTGAAGTACTGTGTATGATTCAGGAGTCATACAGGTAGTTCATTGAAGTCACATATTACTGACCCGTTCATGATAATGATTTGGCTTTCAGCAAAGTCTTCCGTTTCAGACTGCACACAGAGTTTGATACTAAACTCAGCTCGCTCCACAGTTGTGTTGGAAAGCAAATGGAGGTCCAGCTCTTTGATCCTGGACCCCAGTTGCTCTTGATGCACTTGTGCTGAATCGTGTTGCAACCCTCTTGGCATAAAATTAAGGCTGGTGAATTGTGGATTGTTTGTGTATGTTGCCATCGGCCCTTCCCCTGGCAAGTGAAATTCTAGCCAAACATCGGCATTATCAAAGGCTGTTGTGGGCACGGTGATGATGAAATCGGGGTCTCTGGCTTGGACTGCAGGGATGCGGCAGGCCAGCGGGAGGATGAAAGAGGGCTGACGGCTGATCATAGAGAAAGGACGCACACTTTTCAAGGTGTTAGTGTAGACCAGCTCTCTACCAGCATGCTGGAAAACAGGAGTGGAGGAGGATGTTTCTGGCTTGAAATATAGAATAAAAAGTTGAAAAAAACCCCCAACAAAGAATCACTGCAGTCTTTTACCACAGTTTTGGTGCCGCAGCCATTTAAAGCAATGCGTGCGGTGAGATGAGTGTCGTTGAAGGTGATGGGACAAGCATGGCTGTTGAGTTGCAACTCAGTCAGGTTGATTTTGCTCAGCGAGCCAACAGGAAGCACCAATGTCATCTCTGTCTTATTACAAATCAGCTCTGGAGGCAGATAACAGCACATTCTCAGGAACGCCTACAAACAAATGGCAGCGTTGCAACAATTCAACCAGAAAAAAAGGTGGGGCAATTCTCATAACCTGTTCCATCAGGAAGGGTCCTCGTTTCTCCTGCAATTAACAAGAGAAGAAGCTTTAAATATACATTTACATACTGAAAACAATAACAATGATACAAAGAAAAATAGCTTTACTTTGGAAGAGCCACACACAGTGAGGTTCAGACTGCAAACTGGAAAGAAAAGATGAGCAGGTCAGACCTTTAAACAACCATACAATTAACTAACCAAATGCGTTGATGGGTCTTTACTAGCATGTTTGTGTAGATAGAATTGTTATACTGTATTTACATCCATCTGTTTTTATAGACTTCTGTGTCAATTTAGCTCAGAGTATCTGATGTACAAAAGTGTATTGTGTAAGATCCATCCCACACTCAAGTGTGTTGTTCAGACTAACCCCCCCCCCCCACGCCATGAATGGGGGGAGCACTGTATATTTTGTCAGTCGACTGGCATTATGGTTGAACAAACATTGGTATAGTACAAATATGGTCGGTCAGAGTAGATGATTCTCTCCCTGCTGGTACGCATTGGTGAATTCTCACTTTTACACAAGTGGCTACATCCGTTCAGTTTACAAACCTCACAGAATTGGCGACAAAGCAGATAGGAAGAACAGGGCAGAGAGTGTTTTCCCCACGGACCCAGGACATGGAAAGTTGCGACATGGCACCGATTGAAAAGAAGCCATACTTGATGAGCCCAGGCTGGCCGACAACTGCTATTTCTGAAACACTGAAAGCACAGTGAGGACCATTGTAATTGAGTTGCTGCTCACATAACATAAACAGGGTGTAACCCAATAAGACAAATACAAAACAGATGAAGAGCAATGTCAACATGACACCAATATTACTTTTTTTTCATTCCATTGTGTCATTTTGTGCAGACCCGTAAAGGTGAGCCCTTTAATATTAGAGAACAGTGTCACCTTGAGGCAGGCCCAGTATGGGTAATATTTATGGTCTGTCTATGGTCATATTTTGAACTGTATCATTGCGCATCTACACAACCCACCTCTTTTTTCCTTACAGCCCGCGGAACCATTTTAATCTTGTTGTTGTACAAATGTAAAATGCTGACATTTGTGCTTATTCCGTTGTATTATGTACTTATAGCATGGGTACGTATGCCATTTAAGGTAGGGCTGGGTGATATATCATTATAGTATCGAACTAGAGACATGAAAATACAAGATATTAACATGGAATGTAGGACGATAGCAGTCACGTGACCTTGCCAACCACATTTCTCTTTTAAGGTTTTCCGTTCATCGCCAGCTAATGCCAGCCAATGACAATCATGTTGTGAGAGGGAGAGAGAGGGAGAGAGGGAAATGTAAAATGCAATATGAATATTGTTGGAGGGAATGGTCATCTATTTTACATTGATACACTAAAGAGTGTACAATTGGATATCATTCTTGACTGAATTATATACGTGGAGCAAAGTGGGCCAGTCTGAGCCCTGAAATTCTAGTGTTGAAAATGAGTTTCACTCTGGCCCTGCCTTTAGGCATTCTTTTGACTGAAGAATTCTGAAAATGGCTTTTGAAGCGCTCGCACGTATACAACCTAAAATGGCTGACTTTGGGACTGAACTCGGGATGGGCGAATAACGATACGTGGTATAGGTATCAGTGCCGATACCAGGTGGCAAGGGTGGATAGTTGGATTTGAGCGATACTCAAATGACACAGAACAACTCTTTCTTCAAAATAATTTTTGGAACAAAAAAGTGTAAATGGATGTTTCCTCACAACTGATGCACTTGAATGTGCTGATGCACAGTAGTTGGAAATCACTGCATTATATGATGCAATATAGATTACTAAAGTATACTGGAATAAAATATTGAGGTGGAAAACCTTTACAAGTATATGAGATTCTCGTTGGAAAATTTAGACTTGTCTTGTGTAAGTGACATTTTTTTTCTCTACTAAAAACAGTATAGAGCAGGGGTGCCCAACCAGTTGATCACGACCGACCAGTCGACCGGTCCCAAGTCGATCACGAAAGGTGTAGGCCTGTAGGAGCAAATGGAAAAAAACAAAACAAAACAAACAAAAAAAGATTGGTGTGTCTGTGTGCATGTTAGTAATATTATATATTTTTGTGAAAGTTTACACTACAGCCAAAGGATCCAATCAGTTTCACTGTCACATAAAAAGTATTTAAAAAAGAAAAACACAGAAAACGCAGGTGGGCGGCACGGTGATCGACTGGTCAGCACATGGGCCTCACAGTGTGGCATTTGCATATTCTCGTTTCGTTCATGTTAGGGGCCGTTATGGCTGTTGCTCATCATGGCGCGCGCGCGCGCGTGTGTGTGTGTGTGTGTGTGTGTATGCATGCGTGCATATGCGCACGTGTGGTAAAGGGTCAATCGCGGGAGGTTGGTTGTTTGAAAAGTAGATCGTCAGTCAAAAAAGATTGGGACCCCCTTGTATTGACCAACCTATGACTAACACTGGTTTTGTTGGTGCCGCCAGGAAAAGAAAAACCCAACTCTTTCGTCACTGGACAACCCACTCTACTTACAGAGCCACAGCTTCCCAACAAGACCAGCGCCCTGCTTCGGCCTTGCCAGTAGCAGGTGATGGCTGGTGACAGCAGCAGCTGGTTTCTTGCCGGTGTCACCAGCTATCAGTAAGGCAACACCATGCGGCTCAGTTGGTAGATCGGGCTGATCGATGACAAAGGGGTTGGTTGTTTGAGTCCCCGCTATCTTTGTTGTCTTCATATTAAATTATTAATATTTAGAGAGATATTACATTGAATTAATCGTGTAAAGAATTCATGGATTAAGAGGTGTTCAACAAGACTCCATTCAGTGTACATGTATGTTACACTGTATGGATCTCTGATGCAATAAAAACAGTAAATGAGAAATAATGATCGGAAAAGTCTCACCTCTCTTTTTGGGATATGAAGTTAGCCTCAAACTTCACTTCATCGAATGGCAGGACATAAAATGTTGCATGTTTTCTTGGGGTCTTTCCTGTTGTCACAGGCTCATCTGAACAGCTGGAGGATGACTGCTCCACTGTAGATGAATAGAAGTTACAGTACATTACATATATA